AAAAACACACAAAAGTTGCACCTTTTATTTTTCTTAATAAAGTTGTATTCACAAATTAGTTAATATAATGTATGTGTGATAACTAAGATGCTTCCAGAAGTCCATACTGTCTTATCACAGAGCAACGCGGAAGAGCATTTAACAAAAACATAAAACTTAAACATAAAACAAAAAACACTAAAAACATTAAGTTTAAGTATATTGAGAATATTTATAATATAAATTATATTAAATAAAAGATGTATGAAATGAGTAAAAGAGGATTAAAAGAACTGAATTTAAATGAATAAAACAATGTTTAAATATGATAAAACATGCAATGTACTTCTCTTAACAATGTTAGTGTTTTTCTTTAACAAGGAACAGGTTTTGATTTATTTTTGTGAACATTTTTTCTATGATGAACCACATAGTGTGTCATTTTAATAATCTTAGAGGAAAAAATTGACAAAAATCAAATATAATTTTTTATATTTATTTATAATTATAATTTTTCTTGTTTATTTATAATTATAATTTTTCTTATTTATTGTACCATTATAAGCATTATAATAATAAAATACAATATAATGATATTAGTAAGTCAGGAGTTTGCTCATTTTATTTCAAAAAAAAAAGCTTCTCATTAAAATTTTTGTTAATAATTTAAATAAAAATAAAAAAGTATAACTTTAATCAAATAAAATAAATTGTGCAATAAGTCGGTATCACTGGTAATGACATATTCTTCGTCCGCAGATGTGTTCTGAGAATCTTCGCTTTCTAAGAGTGTCTTTCTTTGCTCGCTGCCTAATATATTAAACAATAATTCCGAAATAACTCTAAGTGCACATCTGCTATCTCAGATGACTTTTATGCGTTCCTAATCAATTTATGAGCAGAGTTTCTAGTTCTAGAGATTCTTTAGCGAACCAACAATACCAAGTTAATGATGAAACAAGGTAGTCTCAGATGCTACTTTTAGCATCCCGTATATCACATTATCCATACCTTCATTCCATACTTATATGGACAACGTCCCTTAACTGTAACTAGTTGCTCATTGAGATTAAGATAAGGATTGTAGTTGCTCTTACATTTAGTAATAAATGTTTCCATTATATTTTTTAAAGGTGCAATATTGTTTGCAAACCGTCTTTGATTTCTTGTTTCTCTCTCATCAAATCGAATGCATCGTCGCAAGTTAACAAATTGATCTCTTTGCATTGAAGCCGAAAATATTTGTATGCCATCTAATCTACTCCAAAGTTTTTTTATACTTTGGTTTTTAAAATGGAACATTCCAGCTAGAAGAAGAACTCCAATAATCTCATAAAGCTCATTTACTGTCGTGTCAACCCATCCTTCTAGACTTATTCTACAAGCTTTAGCATTAGTGCAGTTGACAATAATTCTAATCAATTCTGATATTATAACGAGTTTAAATGCAGTATTCATACTTTGGCCGCAAATCTGAGCTGCAAACCTTGTTGGGCCAGTTGCTTTTTTCATAATATTGTGTGCACGTGGCTGACCAGAATCTACACGTGGAAGTTTACTTCAAATTACCTCACCATTCTTGAAATCATGTTTTTATCTAAAATACGATTTTCCTGGACAACTTCTTTGTCACTTTCATTAGAGATGATCGAATCTAATTCATTGTGAGCTGTAATAATATCTTCTTCATCTTCTGTTAGGTTTTCGTCAACTGAGTCATTACATGAAGATAACTCATTTAAACCAAAAATTCTTCTTGGTCGACTCATTATATTAATTATACTTATTCTAAAGAATAGTTTCAGTGTTTATTAAACAAAATATGTGAAAAATATGTAGCATATGTTTTAGACATTTTTTTATTTTGTATCAATTATATAAATATTTTTGACATAAAAACAAAATATATGCAACATGAGGACTTTATTTTTGTTACAGTGATTGTATATATATATAATGCATATATGGTATAATTTACTCATAAAAAAGATAAGTAAAACACAAGCGAGTGTAAAACTAAGCGTAAATCATATAGCTATTTTTTGATTTACTAACTAAAAAATGAGAAAATTTGCATGGGGTATAATATACCCCAACCGTCTTTAACGTAACTAAAATTTCAACTATCAATATTATTGTCAATTTATTAGTAAAACAAGAGCATTTTACACTAACAACTTCCTTAAATGATTATAAAAAATATTCTGAAGTGGCAGTTCAAATAGAAGAAATTTGTTGATGTGACAATTAAAAATAAACTCTTCTGGGGTAGTAAAATAACCCGCCGTAATTTAAGGGTTATATTTTTACTTATGCCATAGAAATACTAAACAAACTTTATTTGGTTAAACGCTGCTCCGTAAACTACTGCTTATGTTGCTTCAGTTTTAACTCTCGTGTCTTTTTCAAAGTTGTCTCTCGTTTTGGAAATAAACTTATAATTTATTTAACAATGGAAACCAATTTTCTTTTTTCTTTTTTCCCTCAGCTTCATTGCAGTGTTTATATTTAACACTTAGCTGCTTTAATCCAGGAGATGTTGCACTTTTTATTACTATTGTACAAGCTTTAAAAGGTCCCATTTTATTACTATTATACGAGATTTAAAAGCTATCCCCTATTTTATAAGGGACCTTAAGAAATTAGTGAAAAATTATACAAATTGTGTTTAAAATCACTTTAACATTTAATATTGCATGCAATACATAATAAAAAATAATTACATATTAAGTTATGTAAAAGCTCCAGACTAAAAAGTAAAATCTCTTCTTTTTGAACATTTTTTTTAATCAGATGAATATTTCTTCCCGCTAATGATTTTTCTCTAAGCATCGTCAGCGTTTTTTTACTGATATTATGGTTTTTATTTTTCACACAGTTTTAACAAGGTTGAACATGTTTAACAAGTTAAAGTTTTATGTAAGTATTGTAAGTTATCATTCTTTTAAGAATTTAATTGATATTTAAGAAATTTTAAAATATACAGTCGCCATTATTATGTTTGTAAAAATCAATTAAAAATATTTATATACTTTTTTTTATGTATATATATTTTTTTTTACTAAGTATATTTTGATTTATTGAAGTTCTTTTTTTTTATTACTTATCCTCCTTTATATTTAAAATATTTTCGATAGAAATGTTTAACATTTCTCTGTGGGCTTTAATTGCTCAGTCTAGTTCAAGCACCGCAGATTACCTGCATCCAATATAACAATACTTACTTCAAGTACCGCAGATTACCTGCATCCAATATTACAATACTTATTTTAATACTTGCTAATGAGACTTAATGGTTTCTAGCAATACTTGACTCTATTTTACAGGAACATTCAATACTTACTTCGACAACCATTTGCATATGTGTGTGTATTATGTGTATGTATGTATATATGTATTTGACATAAGGTATAATGCTTATTTTAAGTAATGTATTTTAGCTGTTAAGTATTTAATTAAAAGTTTAATGAGAATACTTCGTTTTTCGTTGTCAATCTTATGTCTTTAATTAAAGATTTATTGAAATTAATTTTTAATTGGTTAAAAATAAGTAAGTGAGAAATAACTTTAACAGCTTATTACCACAATATTCTGCAGATTTGACTTGCTTTAAACATGTAGGTTATGTAGATTAGACATGCTTTACTATTATACTATATATACTATTATAAACATGTTAGTCATTTGTGTTGTATAAAAAAAAGTAAAGGAATTGATCATGTTAAATATAATTTTTGGAAAGTCACTTATGTTTGCGTCATTATTTATTGTACTAAATGGGACCAACACAATGTAAACGCTTATCTTTTATATGGGATCCATAAACATTTTCAATTAGTTTGCAAGATTTGCTGTCTCCATCACCATAAAACATTGTGTATTTAAGACCATGTTTTGTTATTGCTTATTCAAATATATTTTTAGTACAATAAATAATGCAGACATGAATGACTTTCCAGAATACATCTTTAACAAGATCAATTCGTTTGGTTTTTTTTCATACTCATGAAGTAATGTTTACACGTGTAACTTGTTGGTCATATAAATGACCAACATGTTACTTATGTAAACATTACTTCAACATCTAATATCTAGAATCAACAGATTTGGAATTGATAACACCTTTAAGATAGAAGTAGCTTCTATGTTGCCATGATTCATCATTTGCTACCCCAATTTCGGTACCAATCTGAGATTTTATTTTTTCAGCTGCAGGCTGTCATTGACTTTTCAGCAACAGTTTTACATGCATATTCACAAAGTTTGGAAATCTTACTTTATTAGTTTAAGTATATTCATGATTATTGTTGTTGCAGATTGGCCTGAACCAATAGTGCGCATTGCAAAATATGTGCAGATTGTTTTTTTGGTTTTAATAACTATAAGGTATAAGATTTAGTTTCATATGATCATCCAATAATACTGAGTAATATCATATGTTAAAAAATTACATAAAACTTTATGATTTGATATAAAATTACTCACTTTTGTTAAAGTCTATATGCCAGTAAAAGATATTGATTAAAAGCTAAAAACAATAATATAAAGAGAAAATTGTAACCATTCTTATTTCAAAATAAAACACTTTTGAATGAAAATTCAGACGCGCAACGTTCGCGATTACTAATTGTCTGCTTATTGACTATAAATCTGATCCACGACTTTAAAAATTTGCGCATGCTCAGAAGAATTATTTAGCCGCTGCATTAATTTAAAAGTAAAATCTGGATTGATCTTTAAACACAACGGTCTATTTAATATCAAAATAAAAAACAGACAAAAAACTTTAAGAGAGGGTCAAAATTTATTTTTATTCCTCCTGGATTGTTAAAATAACATACTGTAAACCGCCATGATTATTTTTGTTAATTTTACTTTCTAATTAGAATTAGTGAAGTATTTTAAAACGATTAAAATTGTTAGAAGGCTAATTTATTTTTTAACAAGTTTTTTTATTTTTAAATAACTAGGCGAACTTTTAAAAAATTTTATTTATTTGCATTGTATTTATAAAACAAAAGTTTGATCACACTCGGATTATTCACTCTAAATAATGTGCTCCTAACAGTTTGAAATACATAACCTTGTCTATGTATAAAATAAAACTACAATTTCTCATGGTTTTTTAAGCTAGACAAATGTAACGTTAAATTAAAAAAATATACAACATGTGTTAGATATGTAAAAATAAAATAATAACAAAAAATAAAAAAATAAACTTCCTTTAAATTATTAAATACGACGCAGTTTTAAAAACGTAGCTTTTGTTTGTTTAATTGTTATTTTAAACTTGAGGAAGAGACTAGCAATCAGCTATCAGTAAATCACTTAGCTCCCAACATATTAAAAACATTTCAGAATGTTCGAAAAATTGTCAACTTAATAAGTCTACAAAAAATGGTTTCATAAACGCTTTGGAAAAAATACTTTATATTTGTATTCATTGAACATCAATAGCTCTATGAAATCTATCGATTCAACTCTAGATATTTGTACAATAGTGACTTTGAAACTTTCTAATCACTGTTCATATATTGCAGGCAAAGAAAATTCTTGTATTTTCTTTTAAAATCCTTCATCACTAACGATTCTCAACTTTCGATAAGAGCCTTCGAATTTAATGTTGTTTGAAGATCTTCATAATTTATTATATGAATGACATATCTTCAAGACTTATTATCTTCAAGCCAGAGTTTCTAGCATGTCTTCAAATTAGAGTTTCTAGCATGTCTTAGATTAAATTTCAATCCTTTAATGACCGAAAAAACTACGCACGATCTTGTCAACCTATTTTTTAAAAATTTTTATATTTGCTTCTTCTCACTATTTACCAATATATCAGTCCCAAAAGTTTATTCCTCGTAACAAAAATGATAATGATAAACGTTAGTTTTTAATTTCTACAAAATAATGATTATAAAATTAATTTCTCAACCTAGCCATATGGTTTGTTCATCTTTCTTATATTAAGTTGAATTTAAAACGTAAAAGTGCCTCACCCTTCTGTACTTTTTTATCTTTAAATGCAAATAAATCATAAAACTAAATAATAAATATCAATTATCTGATTTTCAAGGTTAAACTTGTCTGTATGTCCTTCTCCATAATCAAATTTTCTTAAGGTCCAGTGGACACAGTACGTTTTTAAAACGTTTTTAAACGTTTTTATCAGGTTTAAACCTAATAAAAACGTGCAGAGAACGTTTAAAAAACCGTGCCTACTGGGTCTAAGAATTTTGGTGTGAAGAAAAAATTGGCTAGCTATTTTTTAAATGAATTAGTTTTAATTTAACGAGTGTTGAAAATTTCCTTGCATTTTTTTTTTTTGTTTTTTTTTTGTTTTTTTGTTTTTGTTTTAAAATTCAAAATGATTTTAAAAAATCTTAGTAACTAAAACTTTTAGTTAAAAAATTGTAGGAAAATAATTCAGGTAAAGTTATTACCCGCTTCCGTGTTATTACCCGCTGCCTAGTTTTGTGATAAACGTTCTCTCTTGTTAAAAAATTCATGTGTTTGTTTTTTTGTTGTTTTTTTTTGCATTTTATGCTCGAACATAATGCTATTTTCGTTTTGTTTCCTGATTGAAAACTCAAATTTAAAATTGTTTTGAATCAAAAAAATCTTTGCAGCACCCTTTTATTACTTAAGTTAATAATAATCAAGCTTGTCCCATTTTTTTTGTCTGTTTGTTTACTATTATGAATTTTATCTTACTTAAGAGAGAAAGAAAATGTTTTAATCTGCTAAGTTCTTGTATTAAATTTCAAACAGTAAAACCCTCTTTAAATTAAAGCGTGACGTCAACTCTGCTGTGACCATGACGTCAGATACATTTTCCTGTTTTTATATAATTAAAAAGCTGCATCGTTTAACTGAGATAATTTATTGTTTGTTTTACAAATATATAATTAAAGATAAAACTATTTGTATATTACAAAGACATATAAAACTAAAGTGTGCTAAATAGTTATATTTTTCGTATAAAGGCTCGATTTAAGATAAGACTATTTGCACACAAAGATTAGGCTTCTTACGCACAAGCATAAACCTTCTTATGTATATTTATTAAATTTTTAATAAATATCCATAAGAAAAAAAAAGATTAAAAAAAATTACAATTGTTTTTTAGGTTTTCCATTTTATTCATTGCTTTTTATTCAATAATAAAATGTTATCATTCGAGAAGAAAAAAAAAAGGTTCTCATGAATGTTAGAATAACAGTGAGCTTTAAAATCAATTGCTATATATATATATATATACATATATATATATATATATATATATATATATATATATATATATATATATATATATATATATATATATATATATATATATATATATATATATATATATATATATATATATATATATATATATATATATATATATATATATATATATATATATATATATATATATATATATATAATACTTTGTTACGGATGGATGTAAAACAAATTACTACGGCAAATCAATTGGATGTAGAAAAATTTCGGACAATAAAGACAAAAGTCAATAATAATAATCAATATTTCATGTAGTCTGACAATCAAACCTAATAATGTGACTTTTATATAGGGCTCTCATATTTCAATTAAATTCAACTTTTTTATTATTGTTCTTATTATATATTTATATATATATATATATATATATATATATATATATATATATATATATATATATATATATATATATATATATATATATATATATATATATATATATATATATATATATATATATATATATATATATATATTAGCGCAAAAATTTTCATCTACAACAACGACAAAAATTACTATTTATTAGAGTTGGTTAAAAAACTTAATCAAAAAATGTTCAATAACCGGAAAACTCACGGTTTTCCGTGACGTCTGAAAACTCTAATCTGATTTTTAAAATGTCTGCAAAATATATATAATAACGGTGACCCAATAACTTTGATGGACTGCTATTCTCCCGGTAATCAAGTTGTTAGTCATACATTTCTAAAAAGGTATTGGTACTAAATGCGTAAAAGTATGATTAGACGGATCATTTTCATAATTATTTAATTGTATTTCAGAAAAATTGACACTTAGTTGTAAATAACGCATTGTGTTGATGTTAAATTGGGCAAAAATGCACCATTCGACAATAAAGCGTAGATTTCCTTATTTGGAAAATTGAAGAGAAAATATTAATTTTTTACATATAGTAAATTATTAACACAATTATATATAGTATGAATATATTGTAGGAAACTGTTCCTATATGGAAAGTTAGAGAAAAACATTTTAATTATTTTTTTCAGTTGGTGAAATTACCATTCGGCTTGAATTTTTTTTTCTTTTGCAAAAAAGTGGATTACCGAAATTTAAAAAAAAAAGCACTGATGTATTTATTGAGAAAATCCGGTCTTTTTTGCAGTTGTCCTGCTGTGCGTTGTATACAAACGCCTGTTGCTAGGAAATAAAAACACTAGAGTAATACAAAGGAACATTTTTTAAGTAAATTTATTGATAAGAAGATTTTAAAATTCTTAAAGATTAATTACTTAATTTTATACTAGTGATTTCAAGTTTAGAGGCTAATTACACGCTAATTATTTTCATTAATAATTTTCAATAATCCTTTGAATATGAATTTACAATAATATTGTGATATTAAATACATTGTATTTAAAACAATTATACTTTGAAAACGGTTTCTTGTTATAAAATGTCTGTAACGTCTATAGCAATCAATAAAAAGAGAAATCAGGAGTAACAATTTTTGAGAATTTTCATGGCAACTGAATGAATTCCAATATGTCTCTCAAGATGTATTGTGGAAAGATTTTATGCGCGCTACTTTATCGTATTTTTTTTAATAATTAACGAAAATATTTGATTATTAAAAAAGTAATGATAGTATTGTCTGAGCCACATAAAATAAACAAAATGGGTTAAAATAGTAAATAGAAATTAAATTAAAACTTAACAATGCAGTTTTAAAAAGGAACTTAATATGCTTGATAGAATCATAGTTTAAAAAAATTGTTTGAAATTAGTTAATAATTATGTCAATTCTTATTGTCATACTTATGACATTAAACATAATCATAAATTATTAATATTGCTAACATTTTAACATATCATTAACATAATTATATGTACAATTGTACAATATTTGTAAAATGTTTAATATAGTTTAAAAAAAATCGGAATTATTTAAAACCAGTTTGCTCAAATTTACAAACCCCTATCAAATAGCTCATAAAAGTTAAACTATCTATTTATTGCAGTTACAAAATAATTTGTTAAAATGCATTTTTAAGATGTTTATTAAAAAGTTAAGATGCTTATTTAAGAATTGCGGAGTTATGTTTGTTATAACTTTTATTGACACAGCAATATCCACCTCAAGCACTATTCTTTGATTGTGCTTGAACGCCAAAAGCCGTTGTTAGTGAAACTTCAAATCTTTTTTAGTTTTTATTTGAATCATATAGTATTTATTGCTACATTGCTGAGGTCAGCATGCATGACGCAGATAGTTTAGGGTAATTTACTAATACTAGTCACTAGTATTCAGGGTACCAGTTTCTTTAACAGTGATGCAAGTCGTAAGGACTTAAAAACAAAAACTTTATTATTCTTAAATTTTAATCAATATTGAATTAAAAAGATCTTTAATCTTCAAATCAAAAATTTTGATGTTCTCTCTCTCTGGTTATAAATGCTTCGTGAAAAGGTAGTTAGGAATTTCTTAGAATACATAAAAATATGCAACAACAAAAATCACAGTTTTTAGCTGAATTTTTATTTATTAAGGTGGTACCAGGGTAAAAAAAGAGCTATTTTTGGTAAAATTTTGAAAAATACGAAAATGAATGTTTTGAATTCTTAAATCTACCTATTTCAATATACATTTTTCAAAAAGTTAAAAATATTCTATATTTTCATCAAATTTGCCCTTTTTTGAAAAGCAGTTTGGTTCCGGCTTCATAGCAACGACCTTAGCAACGCTTTTTCTCCAATATCTCCTAAACCAAAAAAGCGATTAACATCAAATTTTTCTAAACAATGCTCAAGACGTTAGACTTCTCCTTTAATATTTTTAGAAGCTATAAGCTGTACGTTGAAACCACAAGAGTTGTTCTCAAAGTAGAGCTCCTGAAGGACGGTAGTTAACTTTTGTCAATGCTTCCTTCAGTTTAAATTGAGTTATAATTAAAGATTTATTAGTGTTTTTATTTACAAATGGGTTCTTCAAGCAGGTATAAGTCCTCTAAAGGTAACAAAAGAAAGGTTTTTAGAGGAAAAATTACAAGAAATGATGGTAATACAGCATCAAATGTTACAAAAAAAGTTGTAAATAAATCGGCTTCTGCAGAGAAGTTAGATATTTCTTTAGAATCGAAATACAATTCTTCATCTCCTCTCACTGCATTCGATTGTAACTTTATTATTAACAGTGAATTATTTGTATCTTTAATTACTACCATTGGTCGATGTCCTGATTGCATGAGCAGTATCAGCATTAAACATTTGATTTTGGAAAAAAGGGGATTAGCACAATTCTTCAAAATTTCTTGCAACGATTGCGATTGGAACTTAAAGTTTTGTTCTTCAAAGGAATGTAATAGATTATCTAATGCTCCAGGAAGAAGTAGTTATGAAGTAAATAAAAGGGTACTTATTGCTTTTCGGGAGAATGGTCAGGGGTATTCTCCATTGAAAACATTTTGCCGGTGCATGAAAATGCTACCACCGATGGCTCAAACAACGTTTAATGACTTGAACTCTGATTTGCATAATGCTTATGTACAAACATCTCAGGAATCGATGACTAAAGCTGGAAAAAGAGTTAATTATATGTCTGAAAATACAAATAGTAATTTTTCCCAGAATGCAAAAGTCAGTGGTGATGGTACATGGCAAAAAAGGGGTTACTCATCCCTTAACGGTGTTGTGACACTAATTTCGAAAGGCAAATGCATTGACTTTAAGGTTTTATCAAAGAAATGCAAACAGTGCGAAAGATGGGCGCATAAAAAGGACACTATTGATTATTTTTATTGGAAAGCTTCACATATTTGTTCTATTAACCATACTGGCAGTGCAGGTGCGATGGAAGTTGAAGGCTAAAAAAAATGTTTCACCGATCAGAACGGTTGCATAACTTACGATATACCTTTTACATAGGCGACGGAGATACTAAATCTTTTGATGAGGTATCAAAATCTGATCCTTATCCAGGTTACAAAATTATTAAAGGAGAATGTGTGGGACATGTTCAGAAACGTGTTGGGGCACGTCTTCGCACAATTAAAGCTAACTATAAGGGGAAAAAACTTGCTGATGGTAAAGGAATTGGAGGTGGGAAAGGAAGGCTAACTGAAAAAGTGATGAATACCTTGCAAAATCAATATGGTATGGCTATTAGGCAGAATACCAACAATATATATGCAATGAAGAAAGCAATTGCTGCAGTTTTACACCATTCAAGTGAGCACGATGATCCTGAAAAACGACATCAGTATTGTCCTCGTACAGCTGAAACTTGGTGTAAATTTCAAAGAAACAAAATTAATGGTAAAACATACAAAGATAATATTAGTATTGACACAGCTGTCTGTGAAATAATTAAACCAGTATTTTCTTTTAAAGATCTCGGTTGCGATGAACTTTTGAAAAAGTGTATGCACGATGAAACTCAAAACGTCAACGAGTCTCTCAATAATATTATTTGGACAAAATGCCCGAAACAAACTTATGTTGGGAATAGTACTTTAAAAATGTCTGTAGCTTCTGCTGTTATTAACTATAATGATGGGGCTACAGGACTACTTCCTGTGTTTACCAAATTAGGTGTAGATTGTGGTTTTTATACTACAGAGGGAAGTAAAAATAAAGATATTAATCGTGTCAAACAATCAGACCATATTAACCGAGATCATGTTAAAAAAAGACGTAAAAAGCTCAGAGCCATGAGAAAAGGATATAATGATCAAGATAAACTTGAAGAGGGAGAGACATATGGTTACGGTCAATTTTTAATAGTTATGTTAGAAAATATTATTAGTATTTTACTTTTTAAAACTTGTTTTAGCTTTTTTGTCACTTTTTTTTTCTCACTAAATTGCAATTTTTCAGAAAAAATAACTTTCGATAGAAAGTAGCTAAAGGGCTGAAATTTTGCAGGATTAAAGATGAACATATTAGGAATGTTGTCTATGAAGCAATTTTTTTTAATTTTTTTTTTAAAAGTGATTTTTATCATGTTTTGGTCTTGAACTTCCCTTAAATTTTATATTTTAAAGTTTGAATGTCAACCTGGTAAAATTAAAAAAGTTTAAAAAAAATCTGTTTCATAGACAACATTCTAAATACGTTAATGAACATAAGTTTAAATTTTCAAACAGTTTTGACAATTTTTAAGTTAGTTATATTAGATGAAAGAGTAGGCAGTTTTAGGGGTAAAATAACACTAATTATGCTCATAATCAATGACGTCATCACTAAAAAAAAAAATTTTTTTACTAATTTATATTTTTTTTGTCCACTAATAAAAAAGAGCTAAAGTATAATGATATTTTTTAATTTTTTGTAAAAAAAGTTGCCTTTACCCTGGTACCACCTTAATATTAGCTAAGGTTTGAAATGTATTTTAATAATTATATTTTGCATTGTATTTTATTTTATATATATATATATATATATATATAAATATATATATATATATGTATATATATATATATATATATATACATATATATATATATATATATATATATATATATATATATATATATATATATATATATATATATATATATATATATATATATATATATATATATATATGTATGTATATATGATATGCATATATAATATGAGTGATAACGAAATAAATTTAAAAAAATACAATTACATAATAAACTTTTTGGAATCGCTGATAGCGTATCAATTACACTACTTGGTTTGTAATTACATTTAATTCTGGTTCCGTCTTTTTTGTACGTTTTTAAAAACAACTGGAAAGTGGTACCAAATATTTGTTTAAAGCCTTTAAAGAAAAAGAAAATTGGATTTGAAGTTTACCCCGTGCATCTTAAAAAACCGTTATTTTTATTATCTTTACATATTTTTAATTGGGCTGATTGGAGTTAAAAATAAAAATTGCGTTTATAACTTGCGTTAGACGCCCACTTGCTATGTTTTTGATTAGTTAATTGTACGTATTCTCGTTGAAAAAAATTAAACGCTCTAATTCGATTCACGATTTACTATACGTTTGGCTAAGTGAATACAGAAGTGGCAAGTTTGGCGCCAGACTCTGATCTTTAACGTAACCTCAAAATTAACAAAAAAATCGGACCGAGACTGCTTTCGAGAAACCATTTTAAGCTTGTGTTTACAAAATGATGAATTTGCGGCTGTTACAATTTATCCCAGAATTACAATTTTTATATTCTCTTTTTTTGCCTTAGAGTTAAATCCTTATATATTTAATAAAAATGACAAACCCAAGAAAGTTTGCAGATAAACTTGAAATAATTCGTAGAAAAGAAGAGGAAGCTAACGCTGCCTTCGATAAAATTATGCAAGAAGTTTCAGATGCGAGGATGGGGATATCACCTCCATTAACAACAATATCTCCTCATTACCCACAAGGTCAAGTTATGAGAAGTCAAAATGTTGATGTAAGTTAAATGCAATTTATTTATACTTTATTTTTGTTCTTTTTTTGATATTTCAGAAACCAGTCGGTTTGATAATTATATTTTAGTTGTGTCTTGATTAAAATCTAAATTTGCATTTGGTAGCTTATTATAAATATCAACAAAAAAGAAATGAACTGTTTTTTTACTTTCTGGGTAGACGTCTTTTTTAGAGCACCTCCTAAAATTTTACACAAAATAAATATTATTAAAAACCAAATCCTAACCCTAACCTTTACACAAATTTTTATGTGTCAAGAGTTTGGGTTAGGGTTTAGGTTGTATGGATTTTAATAAAACTTGATTTATTTAAAAGTTATTTTTTTGCTGACATACTGAAAAATGGTGTCTGAAATACAGGTCCTGTTTTCTATTCACCTTTTTTCTCGCATTAAAATGTGTTTTTAAAGAACACTTTGATATGGTTTGGCTTTAAGTCCCAGTAGTATGTCATATAACAACATAGTATATGTTACAATTGAAAATTACATGTTATATTTAGTTAAAGCAAGCCTAGTGATAATTTTTTTTTTTTTTATGTCTCATATTTGAAATGTTATTATTTTTTTTCATATCTCATATTTGAAATGTTTAAAAGAAAAAACTTACAGCGCTAAGTATAATATGTGTTCTTTCTAATTATTAGTGACATTTGTTGGAAATTAAAAATAAATTTTATTCTTTACTTTAATAAAAATTAATTTAAATAATAAAATTTAATTTAACTAAGATTTTATTGATATTTTAAAATTGATATTTTTAATAAGGCGTAGTTTTTTTTATTATATGCAGTATTTTAATTTGCAGTAACAAATTTTATTTATAGATATATACATATGTATATATATATATATATATATATATATATATATATATATATATATATATATATATATATATATATATATATATATAAATGTGTGTATGTTTCTAACAGCAATTTTTAGTTACACCCAGCCTGTTCTCTATGCTCAATTAAAAGCATCTAAACAAGTATTTTTCACTAAATAATATGCATAGTATTTTAAAAAAATAAGTTTTTGTTGTTGTTGTTGTTGTTTTTTTGTTGTTAATGTTTTTTAATATTAGTACAAAGGTCAAAGATAATAAATGTTAGAATATTTATATGTGAAATGTTTTTGAAAAAGTGTAAATACATGGCCAACCTCTATTTTTATTTTATCTATTTCTTACGATCTATTTTTACAATGTAACCTTTACATAATATATGAAGAGCATCAAATAGTTCCATAACCATTAGTAAGAGTAAGACTTGAGTAAGATAAATAGGAACAGATAATTAAAATATAGTGTAAATAACCATATTGGTAGTAGTTGGGTCAAAAATAACAATATTTACTTTATACAGCTACATTTTACCTTTACATTTAAAAACTTCAAAGTATTATAGTTACGTTCAATTTAACATTTAAAAATCAAAGTCTATAAGCGCTGATACATAAAAATTGAAGCATGCGATTCACTTCCAAATCAAGATTGTACCATTCAATGATTTTTTAATTCAAATTCTTGTCAACTGGTGCAAAAAATCTATAAAGTGTTTTGGTATCTTTAATTTTTTCCTGGTCAACATTTGTTTCCGTACTCCAAATGAATTTATCTTGTGGAAAGAGCTTGAGACAGTCTTGAATTTATCTGCTTTTAGTTGAATTTTTTTGTAAGGCTTCTTTGCATCTCAGTGAGCAACGGTTTTAATGATTGCTAATGGGCTATGGAGATCTACATTTTTCAGACTTTATTCTAAAACACTATGGCTTGTGTCCACCTTTCCAACAACCGTGGCCTTATTTCTGAAACTTTTGATGGATTTCCTTCACATGTTTGCCCAAATTCAGAAATTCCAATATACCTGTGCTCATTATATGATTTCTATTTTGAGGAAACAAACATCTGTTGACAATCTAATGCTAGTAATCTATCATCTTGAACTATTGTTTAAGGCATAGCTAGGAGGTAAATGGGAATTTCATTCCCCCTCTACATACTACTGCTTCATTCCAATGCTCATAATAACCTTGTTTTTGGTCCATATTACAGCCTATCAAGTAGTACATTGTAAATTTGTTTGTAGTCAAATATAGTAATGGTAGATTGAGGGCAAGTTAGTGCACCTTGAAGATTCAAAGCTAATAGTCACTGCCTTTTATGCTATTTCTATCTAACTTTTGTGGCTTGGCAAAATTGTGTTTCTAAAAGAATAGGGGGATCCTCTAACTATTTTTCTTTGATTGTATTTCCTAACTACTTAAATAACTCACAATTATCACATAATCTTATCTTACACTCTGCTTATGTTAAATTTAATGTTATACTTTTTATGAAATAAATATATTAGAAATTTAATGTTATACTCTTAATGAAATAAATCTCCATACAGCCAGAGCTTCTCTTGCTTAACTGACTCACTGTTGCATTTGTCTACATACAGTTTATAAATTTTGGTAATTGTTAGTGAGTTCTCAAAATAAGTGCCTGTGAAATTTTCTTAACAATAATGTCCTAGTACAGTTGGGAAAGACTTGACATGCTTTCTAACACATTCACTTGCAGCCTCCAATTTTTTTAGGCGTTTTTTTTACCTTGCTGATCTCTAGCATGAGTTCCTGTTAGTCCTTGTAGCTTGTATTTATGAAAATAGCTAATCTTCTGTTGGCTTATACAAAATGCATTTAAATAGAAACCCTTAAACACTCGTACTTCCATGTCATCAAAAAAAAAATTGATTACACTCTGATTACTTCTTTTGCCTCTGATTTAGCCCTAACACATTTTTTTTAAAAACATTCTGTAGTATTATCATCAAAGTTGTTATTTTCTGAATCTGTTCAAGTGTTCTTCATATTAATAAAGCCAAACTTATAACAAAGCAGAAGTTGTCTTTTATAAATTTGATTTTGTTAATGTAAAGAACCCTTGCACATTTAAACTGACATTTTGTGCAACCTTTCGTACACAAAATATTCTTAGCATTTTCGTACTGCATTCCATATTGATGAAGCTGTTTATAGTCATTGTTCCAAAAGATTTGTCTGACATCCTCTTTCTTTTATGTTTGTCTATTAGGAGAAAAAACCTATAGGTACAATCTATCATTTTATTTAGTCAAACTTAATTATTCAATACAGTCATTACACGTTATAAAGCGGACCGTGTTTGGGCTAATTCTGCCAGCGTGCACTTAACTTGTTTTATAAACACACTAGCTCAAGCTTATCTCAGGTTAGGTTGACTTAATTCATTTGCCAAGTCAGCTTGCTTTAACCAAACTTATGCAGCTCTGTTACTAAACTCTGTGATAAACATAAAGTGATCTAGGTACTTTTTAAAATAAGATCAGACTTGGCTTACCTAAAATGTAATCATACACTATAAGGTTAACCTACTGACTAAACTCACCCTGATCCCCATTCTGTCTATTGTGTTCCTCTTCTATCTATGTTGGCTTCCCTTGCTCTTTTAAATCAGTATTAATTTTAACAAAGTAAAATAGTAGTAAATTAGGTAGAGATTTTGAAAAAAAAAGTTGTTTTTAATGAAAGATTGAGTTAGGACACTCAGGTTCTTAAGCAGCATTATTTATATATATATATATATATATATATATATATATATATATATATATATATATATATATATATATATATATATATATATATATATGTATATATGTATATATATATATATATATATATATATATATATATATATATATATATATATATATATATATATATATATATATATGTATATATATATATATATATATATATATATATATATATATATATATATATATATATATATATATATATATATATATTAGGGTGGTGCTAAAAACAACTTTTTTTGAAAATGTCTGTTGACACCCCCTAAACGTGTTCTATCTAATACAAAAACACCAAGTTAAAATTTTTTTTGAATAAAAAATATTTTAAGAGGTGCCCCATGAACCTCAAAAATTTAATGGGTCCCTAATATTTTCAAAAAAAAAGTTTTTCAAAAATATGTCAACCTGGTACTCAAATGAAGCGAAATTGTATAAAAATTTCAAAAATAATAATTTTCATTTCGAAAAAAAATTGTTATTTTTTGTTTTATTACATAAAAAATTGCGTTTTTTAACAAAAAATAAAAAAATTGCGTTTTTTATGATTTATTTTATAATTTTAATAAATAAGTTTAATTTCTTTCAAAATGAACATTATTTTTGAAATTTTTATATAATTTCGCTTCATTTGAGTACCAGGTTAACATATTTTTGAAAGACTTTTTCTTTGAAAATATTAGGGACCCCTTAATTTTTCGAGGGTCATGTGGCACCCCTTAAAATATTTTTTATTCAAAAAAAATTTAAACTTAGTGTTTTTGTATTAGATAGAACACGTTTAGGGGGTGTCAACAGACATTTTCAAAAAAAGTTGTTTTTAGCACCACCCTAATATATATATATATATATATATATATATATATATATATATATATATATATATATATATATATATATATATATATATATATATATATATATATATAATCACAATATTGTTGACTTTCCTATATTGATGAATAGTAAAACTCTCACTTAGTCCTCTACTTAACGTCTTCTTGAATTATCATGCGCTACTGACCTCTCATGGGAACCATATATCCAAAGATATATTGTTCCCATGTAATGTCAGTAATGAAAACCATACATTGCAAAGATAGCATCTGCTAAGGTTGCCTCTCTTTATACTGCTTGCCATTTCTTTTCTCCAAATCCATCTATTACTTCTATAAATCTCTTATTTGTTCCTGTATAGAATGCTGTTATCATATTTGGGCTGATTCATCTAATGATATTCTTTCTCTTCTAGACAAGGTCCCAAAATATATTGTAAATGATTCAAAACTTTCTCTTTTCTGCAAATATTATCATGGTTGCTGCTAAAACATGCCATCATCTCTAGTTTCATCAATTAAAACTTATTTTCATACAACCTACTTATACATTAGGTTTTAAGTCTTTGGCCAACCAATTCCTTTTTAACTGTTTTCTTACTCTTTTTTTGTTTTTAACACTTCTCTTTGTTTTGTAGTTACTCCTAACTTAATAGCTTTCAGCCTTGTTGGGAGTGAATTGATATAAAATATCTTTTTTTTTTTTTTTTTTTAATTAGCTATTATGAATAATATTATATTTAATATGGATAGCAATCATTACTTTTTTTTATTATTAATTTAATTAAATTTTGATATTTAATTGATTTAAATTTAAAAATTGAAAATTCATTTCCAAATTCATCAAAGTTGTTTGTTATGTTTAGTACATGAAAATGAGACAGAAATACAAAGGTGGTTCACTCCCCAATGTTAATACCTCTTTTAATCAAATTAACTTACAGGTAATAATGCTTATATATGTTTTTATTTCCAGATATTTTGTTTTATGAAAAAAAAAATTCTTATTTTAATTAAAATGTTTAATTTCATTTTTTTAACTTTTTTGTTTATTTAGAGTTCTTTTCCAGGCTTAAATGAGCCCTATAACAATCATCAGAATGGCTACCCTGGCCCAATTTTTCCTACAAAAGCAAAGAGATCTTGTAAGTTGTTATTACATGGAGTATAATATATCTCTTTTATAAGTAAGGTGTTGTGTAAACAACACCTTTTAGATTTTTAGATTGTAAATTGTTTTTGCTCTTAAAATGCTTTTGTGAGTAAATATCTTTTAAATGCTGTTTTGTGTTAGATACTGTTTCGGCTCCTTATCGAACAAACTCACTTCAACCAGCAGCTAGTATTGCAGAGCAGGGAGATGGGGTTCAATTATGGAGAAGGTATAATTTTGAATTTAAAATGTTGTCTTTTACAAAAAGACATGACTACAAAATTATCTTGATCACTTTTATTTCTGCTTGTTATTTTATTTTTCTCCTGGAATATAAGTTCATTTTTATATCTAGTCTTTCTTTTGATAAAACTTTTTTTTTAACTTTTTATCTTCTGAGAAATAAAAAAGCAATCCTAAAAAAAGGAAACAAAATTGTAACGAAATATCAAATTTTATCTACTAAAAAATAATTAAAAAAGAAAATTTAAAAAAATAAAAAATTTTGTAAAATTTTTATACAACTTGTATTTATTTTTTTGAGTGGTTGCTGTTTTTAGCTACCAAATTTGATGCAAGTTTATGGAAAAAAAAAACATATTATCTTTTATAAAACTTTAACAGCAGTTATATGTTTTAATATGCAATTTATTCACAATTTTTTTCAGTTCGTATAAAGGGTTGTCCTTAAAGTATGTACACTAATAGGGGAAGGGGAGTCTTCAAATAGGTGTATGGGGTGGGGGGTAAGGGTTCAATTTAAAAGTGCTTACTTTGTTTTTCTAGTTTATCATAATTAACCAGTTGACCAATTGAAAATTAAAATTTTGACTTAAGATCCTAGTTTACCAACATAAAAGGATGTATTGTATAGGGGATATATTGGCCCTAAGAAAGACAGATTTGTATTTCAGGCAAACCCTTTGCAGTGCCGTGGCAAATAGGTTTGAGCCCCCCTTCCTCCCCTTAAAAAAGCAACCTGTCAGTAGGGTCTTAAAATCTTCTAAAATTTACTGCAAGAAATTGCTAAAATAAAAATCTCCTTTAATTTTTAAAAAAAGCCCCAAAATTTGCTAGACCCCGTTCCCCAAATTGGGGATATGGGTAGCCCCAGCACTAGGTTTTAGGCTTTAATTTTAATTTTGCTGATCTCGCATAAAACTCATTTTTTACACACTTATTTAAAAGGGGTGCATGAAAAAAACATTCACTCTAAGTAAAGTTTATTTTTATTTGATTTATCATTGGAACAATTTTTAAATAAAAAGTAAACATGACTTGACTGCAACCCTCGGAATTAGGAAAAATGAGGTCAGCAATGATTTGCCGACCTCAAACTTCTAGAGGTCGGCATCAGGTCAACAACAACAAAAAAATTGATACAAAGGTCTTATTATAAAACATAGGAACAAGGTTTTTTTGCTGACCTAAAACACTTTAAGGTCGGCAGTTTGGTCGGTATTGCTGAATGCTGACCCTAATTCTGGGGGTTGTGACTTTAATAGCGAATCTCTGCTGCAGAATCTCTAGCCTTAACCTCTCGCTAAACAAACATAAATAAGGAGTAGTTTAACTTAATAAATATTAAAAAAAGATAAAATACTTATTTGTATATATATATATATATATATATATATATATATATATATATATATATATAAATTGCATTGATAAAAACAGTTAAGATTAGCAAAAATATTTGAAAAACAAATTTAAAAATTGTCTATATTTGTAGTGCAAATAACAAAGTGTTTTCTTAATATGCTGACTGACAAAAGTCGCAAATAAATTGTATATCAAAAAATGTGTTTATTTTCATTATATTCTTATCTGCTTTTTTCCTCGACTTGTATCAATTTTCGTAGTGGAAAATAACTAATGCCCTAAAAATAAGAAAACAACAACAATAAAATATTTAGGTATATTATTTTTTTGACTTTTTTTTTTTAATATTTAGTTTTTTTAGCTTATTTTATTTAGATTTTCTATTTCATGTAGTCTTAGTTTCAAGCATTGCTGTTTTATTCACTCTAGTTTCTTATAGCTTTATTTTGCTGCGAATTCTTAAAATACTTACTATATAAAAATGTCTAAAGAAATTATTTTGGGCATAGATGAACAAGGCATTTGATTGCAATCAAAATATTACATATCAAATGCCTCAATCAAATTACATATATGCTACATATATACTAAATATAAACATTAGAGCACGCGCTCTTTTATAAATATATATATATATATATATATATATATATATATATATATATATATATATATATATATATATATATATATATATATATATATATATATATATATATATATATATATATATATATATATATATATATATATATATGTATATATATATATATATATATATATATATATATATATATATATATATATATATATATATATATATATATATGCATATATATTTTTTAATATATAGTTTTATTTATTTATTTATTTAGAACCTTTTCAGATTCTGCAATTCAGCAAGCATTGCAACAACTTCCCAAAAAAACTAGCAGTAATATTTTTTTATTTTACATATTTTTTACAATGATTTATTTCTTTTATTTGTGACTTGTTTATAAACAGATTTGCTTTTAAGCTATGGAATTTTATTTATAAGATTTTATTTATTATTTGCTGCATTCTTAAGTTCATGTGTGCTCTTTTAATATTGTGTATATTTTTAACTTCATTAGCTTCTCCACAAATGCAACACCGAACTTCATCAAGTAATAATGGACTCAGGGTAATAATTTTTCTTTGAATCCTAATTTTATCATTATTTTTTACATATTTGTTAAAAAAAAGGTTAAAAGTTTTCAGTGACAAACCCAGCGTTGAATTGGGGATACTGATGTTTTTTTCGGATAATAATTTTTTTAAGGGTAATAATTTTCACAGTGCTTTAAGGCACCTTTTAATAAAAAGAGATAATTACGGTAAACTTAATGATTAGAAAAGTATATACAACCCTACATCTAAAGTAGCTCTTTTTGCTGATGACTCAATTTTAATCTCCTGTTTTGACACAGTCTTCCCTTAACAGACTTCTCCTCTTTTTTTTCGATCTCTTAGAACAGGTAGCGGATCTTAAATTTTATGTCACTTCTGTAACAGATTGGGGCTCACTGTGGCTTGTTAATTTTAACTCCAACTTTTAAATCTTATTTATTCACTACAAACAACTATCGCAATACTGTCATCATTCCTATATTAATGAATGGCAACCCTCTCGCTGAGTCCTCTTTTTACGACTTCTTGGATTATCGTTTACTACTGACCTTTCATGAAAATCATATATTAGGGTGCATTAAACGCCCCATACTTTCAAAATTTGATCTGCCCAAATCTTAAAATTTTCTATTGGTTCTCACAAGCAACTATGTTAAATTTTTTCAATATTGAATGAGATTTAAGGGGGCTACCTCAAGTCTGAAACTTGCAACGACAAGAAAAAAGTTTTACACAATCGTGTTTTTGTCCAGCACCAAAAGGTTGTATTAATATAATTATAGTTCTGTATCATTATTGTTACTGATCCAGAGTTGTATCAATAACAATAAAAAAAAATTTCTCAAAATTTTTTTCTTTGAAACTTGAAAAAAGCCTAAAAATGCATTTCAACTAGGTAATTAATAAAGTAAGAAATTACCCCTATTTGCAGGGGTACTTTAATTACCCCTATTTGCAGGACATCAGGATCGATGTAATTACAAAAATGCTGGTTTCCAAGTTATTAAAATATCCTTAAAAAAAATTATTTGCTTACTTACTTGCAAATTCTAAGTTTGGCACTGGTTGTACCAATTAAGTATATATTGAGTTAAATATATTTATAATATATTTAAATCAAAAAAATAATCATGATAATTTTTTATCATTTTAAACAATTTTTTTTTAGTTAATTCAGAAGCCAACACCATCCATTAAAAATGAAAGTGAAGTACAAGCATTCAACAAGTAAGTAATATACTTACAACCTTAAACTAAATCAATTAAGATTGTGACTGATATAAGTATATAAACTATATATATATATATATATATATATATATATATATATATATATATATATATATATATACATATATATATTTAAATTTATGTATGTATATGTATAATTACTTAAAATGACAAATTTGATTTAAAAAAAAAAAACAGGAAATAAATAAGAAATTATGACAAGCAGTAAATATATTATTCTTATTGATAAGGAACCCTATCTCATAAATAAAAGCTAAATAAATTTGTAGATAATCAAAGTACACTGTAAATATTCAAGGGAATCATAAGTGCACCAAGTATAAAACTAGATATAGGTGAATAAAATAGTAGGTAAAAGAAACATGGTAATAAAAGTATTTTGGTAAATAAAAAAATCTTCATCAATTAGCATAGTAAAGCTAATTGTGTAAAGCATTTAATATAGCCTCGCACTTCAACCCTTTGTAGCTCTCTCCCATCATGTTTCCTGACTCATACAGCTGATAACTCATCGAGTCTTCTGTCAATTGTTTGTTTGCTCTTTGATTCTTTCTTTTCCTAGTAACTTCTAACTTAATAGCGGTTGTTGGGAGTTAATCAGAATTTTAAAAAAAATGACACTTTAGTATTTCCAAAAATTTTGTGCAAATCTTTTTTTTTAATTTTAAAAAAGTTCTAGTTATTCTACTTTTTCACTTTTTCTCTAAATTTTTTTTCTTTCTTTTTAATATTATAAAATTGTATTTTTATGAAGTTTAAATGTTTAGCATTGCTTAGGATTAATTGGTGTTAACTCAGCTTTTATATTTTTCTTTGAATAAATGTTTTAATATCTGCTTTTTATTTTTAGCTCAATGAAAATGAACTTTAGTGATAAAGGCAAACCACAAAATTCTTTGCAAATACAAGCTAATACCAGTTCGTTACCAGATCTCTCTAATCTCTCTATCCCTTCTCCTATACAAAATCCAATTGACAACGAGCAAGATATCAAGCTAAACATTGATGATCAAAGAAATGCTTTCCAGACTCCTTATAATTTAGTGCCACGTCGCCCTGTCGGTAAGCAAGTTTATAGGGGGCTATCTCCTAATTCAGATATAATTGAAACATTTCATAGAGAACAAAAAGGTAGAATTAATTTATATCCAAATTTGGGTAAAAATGAGTTAACTATGGTTGGAGGTCTCTCCCGATCTACTCCATGCCCTACTCCTTTGTCTCCTGTCTCATCTCAGCCGTTTTATTGGAACAATCAAACGGTTTCTCCATTGGTAAGTAATGATATGATTTCTTCGCACCCATCATTGCAGAACGATTTGCAACAACTGCAACAATACCAAATGCAAGCTGAAAATCAATCTACATATATATTTGATAGTAGAGATAATTCTTATGATCTTTATTATTCAAACAACCAATATCCAAATAAGTCACCTATTTATAGGCAAAATTTAGCTCAGCTGGGCAATAACAATGTTTGCGGGCAAACACTTGACTTCATGAAATTTAAAAATTCGAATGAACTAAGCGAAGCAGACTTGAATTCTGTAGGAGTAACACTCGATCCATTAGATTTGCGCATATTAAGTGATGATAATACCGAGTTGGTCGATCAATCCGCTGAAGAGCAATTCAGATTAGAAAGAGCGAACTATCATTGATTTGCTGTGATGTTTACATATCACATTATATTGACGCATGTGTACATATACTCTCCAAAATATTTGTTTATATGAAAGTTTCTTTTTATTATTCAATTGAATAATCTAATACCTCGTGAAACCAAACTATGGAATTTAGATTACCAACTACGCGATAATTTTTGCGTTGTTATCTTTTGTAAATTTCTTTAAATGAATTTCTTTACAATAATATTTAGATATTTAGATTTTTTTTAAATTTTAATTTTTATTACAAAACATTTCATTTTTACTCTTTAAGTTTTATTTTCAAAATGATAAATATTTTCTTACCAATGTGAATGTTTTTAAATTTTAGGAGTACCTTCTGATTAAAATACTTGGAATCTTTTCTAAAACCTTGTAAACATGCTGTTAGCATGTTCAATTTTCAAATTCATGTTTTTCTTATTTTTAGTGCTAAAATTGTCTATAAATACCGCAGCTGTTTGGTGCGGTGTAACTTTTTTTTTTTTTTTTTTTTTTGAATTTATAAAGTTCTCTGATTTGTATTTCATAAAGATAAGAATTTGCTTTAAATACAATTTTTGCTTTCAAATTACACACATTGAATTATATATGAAACAAAATTATACTGTCAATGATTTAAAAAAAATACAGTTTTTCATATAAATGTGCAAGAAACACGTCGCTAAGATTTAGCACATAAATCTAAAACTTTACGTTGCAGTGAAAATTTTGTGAAAGGTTTTTGCATTAGCTTGCAGTGAATCTGACAAGGATGATTACGTTTTAACAAGTTGACTTGTATAAAAAAATGTTTATCGTATCAATTATCCTTTTTTTTTTTTTTTTTAACTGATAAATTGATATTTACATTACTATTATATATTCAGCAACAGCCATAAAGATTATATTAAAAAAATACACAAAACAAGTTTTATAACTACGATGCTTCATAACATTATCAATCTAACGTAGTTGAAAAGCTTAATAAAGCAAAAAAAGGAAAAACTCGGATTTGCTTTTTTTTGTTAATGATTTTATCTTCTCGTGAATTGCAAAAGACAAAATAATATTCATGATTGCATTTTCTTCTGTCAATACAATTATATTTTTTAAAAGATAGTACTTGAGTAATTTCTTGTGCAAAGTTTTGTATTTCTCGATGGTTTTACTGTTACTCGTATTTCTCGATGGTTTTACTGTTACTCGTATTTCTCGATGGCTTTACTCTTACTCGTATTTCTCGATGGTTTTACTCTAGTTTTTTGTATTTCTCTTTAGTTTTTTAGTAATTCTTGATGGTTTTACTCTTTAGTTTTTTTGTATTTCTCGATGGTTTTACTCTAGTTTTTTGTATTTCTCGATGGTTTTACTCTTTAGTTTTTTAGTAATTTCAATAGTAGTAGAAATGCTTTATTACTTATTTTATTATCGATGTCATATGCTGTCATTAGACTTAGTGTTCTCGTTTGTTTGTGTGGTGTAGCTCCAACCATTTGCAGATTTTACATATCTAGTTTATTTAGTTTAAGGTTTTAATTCCGTACTAAAGAATAGGTATACAGTATACTTTAAAAAAAGCTCTTCCAACTTGTCGTAATAAATTAAACGCACTCTCTCTGCTTTTCTGCTAATAGTCAATTTATTCCATCAAACCTTATTTTGCCTTATTTTTTACTTAAAATTATTTGAGTTTAGACACCTTCTTTTGACCATCTTTTTCAAGTTTCGTTTCACTAAATTCCCTAAATTTTGGTTTAGGCTTTATTATATTATAATGTGCTTTTTTTGCGTTTGTTTTGCTAATTGATAATAAGATTTAAGATTTTAGGCAGCAGTAGTTAGAGTTCAGGCTGAAAACCAAAAAGTTCAAAGTTTGATGCTGCCTCTAGCCCAATAAGCGACATTAGAAAGGAAGGAGGCGTTAGCTTCTCCGGTTAAATGCTCCTCCGCATTGCTCTGTAATGCTATAAGATTTTCTTTGGGTACCTTAATAACTATTATAAAAAATTCAAAATGCTAACCATATCTTGCAGAATTTTCAAACTATCACACAACACTAATAAACCATCAGCATTTATTATACTATGATATATTAACGGTGTGTTGTTATTACTTGCTGATTTAATTTTTTTAAGTGTCAAAATGTATATTTTCAATATTATTCATTGCGTTTTCAACATAAATTGATAACAGCCAAGGCGACATTGGTAACCCTTGTTTGACTCCGAATGATGTTTTAAAGATGATTTAATGGTCGTGTTCTCTAACAACATATGCTAATGAATACTTGTATCATCGATAATGAGCAATTCTCTCTAAGTTATACCATTAATTTTTCATAGTTTTTACGCATCATGATCTGTCTATTCACTTTAGCAAATCCTTTGCTAGTGTCTTACCTGCATTTAAAACTTATATTCTAACGACACTTTTTGGTTTATTACTGTCGCTGTAATAACTAACTAATCTTTTTCAACACATAAATAGTATAATTGGTTTTAGCGTCACGGTAAGGAAGGAGGCGTGAACTTCCTGATTAAATGCACTTCCACGGTGCTCTGTGAAAAGACCGTAAGGTCTTCTTATCGCACCTAAATAACAACATCAAATCTGTTTTCCTTAAAATAAATTTGCAATTTAAATTTAATGTGTGTCCTTTGAGCCCCAGTCATTGCAAGTTTTTCAAATATGTTTGTGATTGCGTTTGATACCATGATAGTCCTGATTGAAATTATCTATTTTCGTACTCACTTTCCTTCAGGTTGAAAAAATTATATAATTATAGTAGAATAGAAAAGTCTTGCCAAACTTTATTGTTCCAGTTAAATTTGATATTCTTTTTAACTTCTTTTTTTATCGATAGTTACGATGTCTACTTTATGCAGAAAATTATTTTTATGACAAGATGATTGCTTGTATGCAGAGGCAATTTAAAGGAAGGTGGTTACTTTTGAAGGATTCACCCCCTCCCCCTGATTTAATTTGTAGAATTGCTTGTATTGCTTATGACTAACACTTGCTTATGGCTGACACTATCTAAAATGTTCACTTGAACTAAATTTTTTTTCAAAATAATGATAAAAAAATATATGGTCTATTCTTGGCTAACGTTTCTTATCTACACTCAATTCACTTGTTGAGTATAGATAAAATTTCCATTATAATGTTTTTAACTTTAATAAAGAATCTAAACGCGTTATCAAAAATAGTGTTTTTAAATCCTAGTTAAAATCGGTAATAACATCTACCTTTTTTTCTTTTTATCTGATTATCTCTAACATTATAGCTAACTTTTGTTGATGCTCTATTAATGAATCAAGTTGTCCTTTATTGTGCTTTAGTTAATCGAGCTAAATTTATTTTTACCAACATCAATATTTTTTATTCTTGCAGCATGTTTCTTAAAGAACATTGACTTTGTTTAGTTTAAATTTTTATACGTAAACGAGGCTTGTCTTAATTATTGGGCTTTTTAGCTATAAATGCTTTTAATTTGTTTTACTCCATTTAAATCACATTCAGGTTTTTCTACTTTTCTTAAAACTCCATAATCATAATCCGAATCTCCATTAAAAACATTCACGTTTTCATCAGTTTTGGTAATAATATACAATGTACCATCAATTTCTTTAATAATATCCAAATTTCCATTGTTTTATTAATAATTTTAATATCTCTTTTAATTTCATTTACAATTTCAAAAGATTTCATTAATTCCAATAATAATAAATTTCCAATAATAATTTTAAATTTCCACAAGTTCCAATATTAATATCCAACTTTTAGATACTTCATTATTGCATTAATGTTTAATGACTCGTGTAGTTTAGCTTGCTAACTAGAAATCTTATTATTGGAACTTATACATTTATTAATATTATTTTAATCATTTAAGTTTTTTTATTGGACTAATTTGCTCTAATCTTTTAATCTTAATAATTTCTCATTCCAACTTGAAAAGGTTTGTTATACTTACCTTTTAAGTTAAGTTTTCATTTGATTGTGTTCTTTTTAATAGTTCGGCAGCTTTTAATAAGACAACGAAAACTATAATTCTACGAACAAAGTTGTACTTGTTTTCATTGATATCTTATCTCGATTTATATTTTTAAAGCAATTAACTCTTTTTAATCTTTTTAGGATTACTTTTTATTTCAGTAAAAAGGTTTTTTATAAAATTATTTTTTGATTCTAGCATTAGAATCAATTGAATTTGGTATACCAAAAACAGTAATATCTATCTTGCTTACGTGCGTCTTTACATAAATCCATAATACTATGCGTAAGCATTATTTATTCATATGGTTTATCGCTCTTTCTGTTAAACAACTAGTTTCAATCTAAAACGCTTTGTTTTTTTTGTTTTAATATTTTAACTCTTGTTGCTAATTGAACATTTTGACTCTTCATCTTATCAAATTTAGCCAAGTTTTCATTGCTTTACGCTCCAATTCAATGTCTTTACGCTCCAATTCAATGCCTTTGCGCTCCAATTCAATATCTTAACGCTCCAATTCAATTCCTTTACGCTCTCTCTCTCTCTCTCTCTCTCTCTCTCTCTCTCTATATATATATATATATATATATATATATATATATATATATATATATATATATATATATATATATATATATATATATATATATATAATATATATATATATATATATATATATATATATATATATATATATATATATATATACATATACATATATATATATATATATATATATATATATATATATATATATATATATATATATATATATATATATATATATATATATATATATATATATTAATTCTTAACGCTAAATTTTTAGTCCCTGTGTAATAAGTTAATTAGCAATTAGCGCATGCATAAAATTTTAACATATTGTTCACAAATAAAATGGCACCAAAAGGCGATCATGTTTTTAAACAGCTTCAAGAATTGCTAATTAGAGTGTCTAAATTGGAGCATAAAGGAATTGAATTAGACCGTTAAGATATTGAATTGGAGCGTTAAGACATTGAATTGGAGCGCAAAGGCATTGAATTTAGACATACATATGAATTGCTTTAAATGTATTATACAAAATAGAGTGTTCAATGTTCTTTTTTTTTGCTGTTGTTCTTTAATCATTACAAATTCGTCATATATAGAATAAATTCGTTAACAAAGGATAGTATATAATAAAAATCTACAAATCTTGTAATATATAAAAAACATACTGTAACGAGACACCATTATTTAAAAAACGCGGGGAACTCGAGAAGACCTTCTAATCATCAAGAAATCATTTACATTATAAAATATTTTTGGTATACTATGTTTACAAAAAATTCATATTTATAAACTAAACAATGTCCTAAACTTATTGTGAGTTTAGATAGTATAAAAGTAAAAAGAATCCAAGAAAAATCTAAAGAATACAAAAAAATTTCATATCTTAAACAAACATTTTATCGGGGATACATATAAACCCGACGGGCATTTGTTTTTAAAAGTTGCGTTCTAAATGTGTTTTAAATGTCTTTTAAACGTCTTTTAAACAATAATGCTTAAAAGACGTTTAAAAGACATTTAAAATACATTTAGATCGTAACTTTAAAAAAGATGCCCGTCGGGAATATGTTAGTACATGATTTACTATATTGAAAATGTAGTTCACATACATATTAATAAACTTGATAATTACATGCAGAATTTTTCTATTTGTTCTTCTTTTTTTTTTTCTTCTGTATTCATAAATAATATTTAAGGTTTCTTATAGTTTTCATTGGTTTTACGTTTTTATTTTTTTGATTATTAGAAGCGCATAAATTTATTTGTGTTTAGAATGAGATTTTTCAATGAAGTTTTAAGAGAATTCAAGTTATTCTGTTTTTCAAATTTAATAATTTTGGCAATTATTTTGTTGTGCAGAAAAGGACCACACAGTGTAGGCCACTTTTAAATTATTCTATTTCTTTTATTTGGAGTTAGCATGATTTTGGCAGCGTATACGTCCAAAGAAGAACTTTAGATGTTATAATTTTTTCGCTTCAGTTTTTTATAATGTTTAAATAAACTTTTCTTCTTTATTATATAATTTCCAAAACTGTTTTAGAACCCCTTAATAAGGAACCTGAAGAACACCATTTTTTGAGTCTTTAGATCAAACTTGCTCAACAGCGTTAACTTGGTTTTAGTTGATATTTTTTGAAAAAGTGAAAAAATAAAAACGTAAAACCCACTATAGATCCAATTTCTAATCTGTTCTTCTACATATTAATTAAATATAGTCGTTAAAATACAAGGTTTCTGTCAATTCCCACCAAAAATTTATAAAATCTGACTGAGAAAAAAGTTTTAATGAAGAAAAACTGCCAATAAACGATCCTAACAGATCATATTATTAAACAATAAATTCATTTAAATCTGGACAAGCAATCGTGATTCTTTAGGAGATTTAAAAAAAAAAGAATCTCTGTTATGTTTATAGGAACATGATTTAAGACCTTGCAATACATCCCTAGAATTTTTTTTTGTTTATCATCAGAACACCGGAAGGCCTGGGGAACAATAACGTATTTTAGGCGAGTAATTTAATCAAGATAGGTTACTAAAAGACATATGGCATACTCAAGCTTCTAGTATGCTGATACTGTTATCAATTGAGGATGACTTGCAAAGAGTTTATGGAATTAAAGCTAACGCAACCCCATCCCAACTCCTGATTGCCTCTTTCCTAGAACTACGTATCCTAAGATCATTAAAATATTTTTTAAGTTCATGAATTAGATAAAAATTTATTGACAGACTTTAAATTTCATCAAATAATCTCCTTTTGTTTAAGATATAACCATAATAACCAGATATGACCATAAGAAGTTTAAAATTCCGCTCATTTACCCCCTGAAACATTTTTGATTGGTCATAATGTTATAATAATATAAGTAATTTATAATAAATGTTTGAGGAATTAAAAGCAGGGCATCAAAGGAAACTCCGCTATGATAAATGTCAGTTCTTTTTTTCTTATAATAAACGTTTAGCAAATATGTATCTAGTTGTTTTTAAGTTGTTTTTAACTTTTAGTTGTTCTACGATGCGGCAGATATGATGGAACTTGCAAGTACACTGTAAAAAATGTCACGCTAAATTGTCTAATAAAACTGCCATGTTACGAAGCCCGATTTAACGCGCGAAATTAAGAATTAAAATTGTCACACGACTTTTAAATACTAAGTTTGGCGTGACATTTATAATTAAAGTTCACGCGACTTTTAGCTGATAAGTATGGCGTGACATTTATAAGTAAATTAGTCACGCGACTTTTTCAAAATAAGTATTGCGTGACATTTAAATTTGTTATGTCACGGGACATCTAAAACATTATCGTGTCGCAAGCCCAATTTTTTGCGCCACATTTAGAAAAATTAAATGTGGCGCGTTAAATCGGGCTTGGTGACATGCGACACTATAGTGTTTTGATGTTCGTGACAAATAAAAAACGTTATACTTAACTTCAAAAAATCGCGTGACTAATTTAATAAAAAATGTCGCATATATGCAACATATTGTCAATATATTGTCACATATTGTCATTATATTGACAAAAATTATTAAATGGCACACTTTATTTAAATAAATAAATAAAAACCAAAGAAATAATAAAAATTATATTTTAATTGTTTAAAAACCATCATCAAATATAAAGATTTAATTTTGAACTATCTCAATTTTTTTATTCTAAGCTAAGAGTTTCTCAATTTTTTAAGAGTTTCTCAATTTTTTTATTCTAAGCTAAGAGTTTAACAGATTCAAAATACAAAGAAACAACAGCACTTTTCACAAGACTTTGCATTTTTTTAGCCAAAACTTATTTGTACAAGCAAACGTAAAACATAATGCTGCAACAGTCCTAAAATTCCTTCCAACGATCTCGGGTACGATAGGTCCATAATATAATATAAGCGATAAGTTGAAGCACGTGTAATGAATCGATGACCCATTGCTATTACTTTTCCTTTGTCAACAAATGTTACATTTTCTCCTAAAATATGTTGCGGCCAAGGAGAAGGAGAAGATATTATCTTCAGCTATCTAAAAAATTTTAAAAATTTGTTATATATATATATATATATTTTTTTTTTTTTTTTTGTTCTTTATTACAATATTTATGATACAGATACAAATAATATAAAAAATAAAAAAGAAAAGGTAACAAGTCAAGATATCGTTAAGAATAATATAATAATATAAAGAATATTAATAAATATAAAGAACGCGGATACTCAAAGAAGACCATCAGGTCTTGTCACAGAGAAACCGCTTTTGAACGTTTTTTTTTTTTTTTTTTTTTTAATTTTATGTTTTTTTTTTTTTTTATTATTATTATTTTTTTTTTTTTTTCAATGTTTTCATTCTTTGTATTTATTTATTTTTGTTCAGTTTCTTTTTATTACAAAATTAAATTTATTAATAAAAGTATATAAAGTTCGTAATATAATATTATAAATAAACATACAGTATTACAATAGAAGAGTTCTAAAACTTAAAAACTAAAACATGTTAAATAATTCACTAAAATAAAACATGTTAAATAATTCCTTGTTGATAAAAAAATAAATAAATAAAAAAGAATGTACATTAAATATATTCATATACTAATATAGACAAGTGATTTTCAAAAATTTAAAAGTAGATTAGTATATTTTCAGTTGAAAAAATGAGTTTTTTAAGATTTTGTTTAAAAGAATCAAAATTACATTCTTGAGAAAAATCTTTAGTCCGCGAAATGAAATAAAAAATTTTCCAAAATTAGTTTGAGAAAATGGTTGTCGAATTAAGTTATCGTTCCTTAGAATATATTTATTTCTATCTCTTTGTATTTTAATAAAGTTATATATTAAATTATATATTGTTATATATAATAAAAATATCTAAAAATTTGTTAAAAAGTGAAATTAGGTTCATCTATCTTAATAACATAACACTACAAAAATAAATATCATAAAGCATTATAAAATAAAAAAAGAAATAACTTTTCGTTAAATTTACACTGACAATAACAATCAACACCCCTCTTCTGGTAGTGCTCTTATGAAATTATATTAAAGCAGATGGAATATCTATACCGGGATATAACTTTTGAATAACTTGCCTATCTAATGCTGCTTCTTTGGTAATTATGTTCATTCTTTCAAATTCGTCCATGATCTAAAAATGTTGTAATATATATGAACAACTTCTTGTTAAAAGTGTGCAAAATACAAATTTATTCAAAAAATAAGAAAACCTTTATACTCATTAAAATTTCTAAAATTAATTTCAGCGTGGGGTTTACTATTTTGCAGTGTGTTAAGGGTTTCCTAGGGTTTTGGACAGTGGTTTTTGAGTAAAAAGTGCAGGGTGTCTAGGGATTACCTTTTTAACGGGTTTTGGAGTGGGTGCAAAATATTTGAGTAGGGGTAGTCAAGTACCCCTACTCAAATATTTTACTCAAGTACAAGTAAAAGGTTCAAACTAATTTTATTCATGACAGCAACACATAATATAAAAGATTATATTTGGTCACATAATCACAAATAAAAAAAACTGACTTTCTGACTAACACCAGTCTCTAACATAGAGGAGGGACTGCATATACATATGCATGAAACTGATTTTAATACATTTCTTTAACTGCACCTATTTAACAAAAAGCAATTCGTATATCCAATTTATAGTCAATGTGTCAATATTATAGAAATTATTTGCTTACAATTTCTGGGTGAAACAGGTGCTCTTTGTGTTCTGAATATGGAAGAGAACAGTGCATGTTTCTTTCTAAACACGAATGTGTTCGCTATGAGAAATTCTTTGTGCCAAAGCAAACTAACATACAAAAGTATTGTATTAACACTAAATTACACTTTATTAATTATTACTGTACTTATTGAGAAATAATTATAAATTTTTATTTATAAAATATTGATAACAATTGTTTTTTTAAAAAAAAGTTTTAAACACATCACCTACATATCTCCATCAAATGAGCTATCATTTATTCCAGAGATATTAAGCATTCTGTTTGCAGTTTTTATCTCAATTGAATTTTTTATACGACGCTCGCGTCGCTTCCGAATTACATTTGAAACACGCATTATAATTCCAACCTGAAAAACAAAATTAATCATTTAAATATCTAGTTTAGTGTAACACATGGTTGGATTAAACAAAACATCTATAAAACACCTGAACATTTTAAAAATCTAAATCTGTTTTGAATTTAATTTTATCTATTTTGAATATCCATTATCTGGGTTATCCATAATTTTTGTTCTGCTTAATTAAGCACTATATGTAATTAATATTGTGAACTATTGGTTGGATAATATTTCATTAATGTTAAAAATTTTAAAAGTTGTATAATTCAAACTTACTGCACCTTCTTCTCCAAAAGTACAGTTTGAATATGACAGTTTGAAAAGGTCAGTAACGCAATGATAGTACTTTTTCCTAAGTGAAGGCATTACCTCGGGGAGACATCCTTCAAGATGATATGCTAATTCACTACAGATATCTTTTAAAGTGTGATTACGGCAAGGCACCAAACCATTTAAATAACTACTACATTCCATTGAAATATAGGTAACTAATATTAAAAATTTAATACTTATAAATAAACAGAATATGCATTCTATAGCTTAGATAACACTTTTGCAAATATATATTCTATATTCTATATATATATATATATATATATATATATATATATATATATATATATATATATATATATATATATATATATATATATATATATATATATATATATATATATAAATGAACAAAAAATAAATAAACTACGAGTAATTCTTTGTAAAAATAGGAACAAATATACAAAATATATTTATATACAAAACAAAAATTGTAACTAAGAAAGTATGAGACAATGTTTTGACCTATACATTGTGCCATCTACAGTAAATTAGTATTTCTAACACATCTATAGTAAATTAGTGCTTCTAACATTAAATTAGTACTTCTAACACAAAAAGCAAGTTTATGAGGTATATAGCTGTCAACTGTCATGATACAAACTTCAGAGTAAGGAAACTGTATAATAAAACTACTAACTGCAGTTAATGAGTATATACGTATTTCACAAACATGTAATTGCAGCAGAAGACATAGTTCATGTGGCACCAGTTCTTCTAGCAATATCATCACAATATAAGCTTAGAGAAAATTTGGATGGCTTGTGGGTAAAGAATTCTATACGATAATCTGCCTTGGCATCTGTCCTACTTAACAGCTATACAAATTTATCAACTTGCAAATGGAAATTAATAATGTCAAATAGTGAAAAATTGTAACCTTTTCCACCAGCAAATAAAACACCTTTTATTTTCAAAATATCAAACAAATCTATTTAAAACTTTCTCTCTTTGATATTTATTACTAAGGATATCCACTTGTGAAAAATACTTGTCAAAAGTATGAAAATGCTTTTCTTTTACTAATTTCCAAATATCAAGTAACATATTTGCTGTAATGTTGTAATGACGGTCGTTGAAGGCACACTGAATAGACTACATAGATTCATTGCAAATGTTGTCTTGGAGGCAATCCTTATTTTCTGAGAAGATACAACTGCATTTTCATTTATTTTGCAAATGAGCCTCAATAATCTTGGTGATTTATAAGGGCCATTACAAATTTTACAAACAATTTTACAAAGTAAACTCATACCTAAATGTCTATCCGTACATACATTATTTAAAGATCACAGCAACATACATTTACAGCGTCTTTAGAAACACCTTTCCCAAATATTCCACTTAAAATTGAAACAGACGCTTTTCAAACTGCTATTGGTGGAACACTAATTCAAGAAGGAAGACCTATTGCATTCTTCTCCAGAATCCTATCAAGGCCTGAAATTCGCCAATCTATCATAGAACGAGAAGCAATGGCTATTATGGAATGTTGTCGTCGATGGAGACGCCTACTATTTTTTGCTCTGAAGTTCGATATTTTAACCGATCAAAAAGTCGTTTCCTTCCTTTTTTCATTTCACCACTTATATAGTAATAAAACATCTTTTAGAAATATTTTCTCTCTATGGCACCCCTGCCTGCATTCACTCCGATTGTGGTACTCAGTTTGAAGGAAGAAAACTAAGAAACTTTCTTTAGGCAACGGTGTCAGCAAGACACGAACAACACCATATTGACCACAAGGAAACGGGCAACGGGAAAGACTAAACTCTACAATCATGAAAACAATAAACTTAGCTTTACGAAGTTTCAAACTAGAAAAAACTGACTGGGAACTAGTACTCCCTGCACCTCTATCCTCTACTCGGTTCCTACTATGCACTTCAACAAATTCTAGTCCACAAAAAAAATTAATTGGTTTCAAACGCTCAACTATTACTGGTGTTGATCTACCTAACTTCCTAGTAGAATCAGGTAGTACTGTCCTACATAAAAATTATCTTCGATTGAAAAGAGATCCATTGGTAGAACCAGTCACATTGCTTGAAACTGTATCACCACACTATGCACGTATAAAGTATATGAATGGCAGAATTGACACTGTATCAACACAACATTTAGCACCATGTGCCAAATCCCCAAATTAAATAAATAATCCAACCACCCGAAACCTTTGAGACATCAGTTTCACCCAAAAAAGACAGTTCAACAGCTACAAACGCTAGCAATAACTTTGAAATCGATTAAAATAACTAGATATTACCAACTGATTGCCATCTTCCGTCTGCCACTAATGATTTACCTTCTCCAAATAAAACGACTACTAGTACCAATATTACACCATCGATAACCCAATATCCTGACGAGACTACTACCCAAAACTTACTAGTTAAAACTTACCGTCCACATCGTATTAGAAGACCAAAGCTTAATTTGTAACAAAACTTAATTAAATCAAAACTATATATAAATATCTATTGGGAGGGTGAAAGACTGTGATATTGTATTATTGTGTTACTGCAATATTGCGTTATTATATTATATTATGTATATTGTGTTTTTTTATATTTTAGATAAGATAATAAAAACCTTACTATTAAATAGGGCTGTACCGGATTTAATTTTTCCAAATCCGGCCGGAGCCGGATTTGTTGGATTTCTACTAACGGATTCGGCCGGAATCGGAGCCGGAGCCAGATTTCAAAGTAAAACTACAGGAACCAAAATCCTGTACATCCCTACTTGGTACTGAAAATGGTCAACAACGTTGACTATTTAAATCACCAAGTGACAGTTATTTTCTATTAAACATCATTTTTGTTGTTTAAAAGTTTTGTCAATCTGCTGCTCAGCATGCTCATTGATTTCAATCTTGCTTTTTCACCTGTCAGTGTTGCCTGTAATGAGAAGAGTTTAGTTTGAAATCATGGATCAACCAGCGTCACCACTATATAAAAAGGTTTCTCCTCAATGCCTTTAAAACTCTCATCCAATGACTTGATTAGGATTGACTTCATAGTCTTTACACCTACATTATTGCAGAATATCGTGTGTCTTCTCTTCAGAATTTTTTGTTGCGATGTTGTTTGAAATTAGGCTTAGCTAATTAAATTGTAAAGAAATGTAAATACAGATACCAAAACAAACATGAAGTTCATAGACTATAGAATTACTCAAAACATTGATTTGTAAAAATCAAATATTAAGTATACATGTTATCACGGACAAGAAATATCTGAACGAAATTCAGAAATCCGGCCAAAATTATGCCGGATTTGCTAATATTTTACCGAAGCCGGATTTGTAAAATTAGCTGGATTTCGGCCGGAGCAGGAGCCGGAGCCAAAATTCGGTACAGCCCTACTATTAAATTACTTGTATTAGTCTTGATCGGGTCTACAACATATATATATATATATATATATATATATATATATATATATATATATATATATATATATATATATATATATATATATATATATATATATATATATATATATATATATATATATATATATATATATATATATATATATATATATATAACAAAATACTTAGTATTACATAGTTACAGTTACAAACATGTTTTTTTTTTAATTTTATAATAATAATTTTACTTTCGGGATACTATTTTTCAAAATTTGTGACAATAGTATTATATGCATGTATCTATGTGTTGACTTAATTGTTAATACTATTTGTGAATAAGTTTGTCTGTAAAACATTCAACAGAAAAAAATTGATTTAATGATTTATCTAAAATGCAGCTGTGTTTTTAATCAATTAATCAATTTTATTTCGTCAATTGTCAACAATCATTTACAACTGTAAATCATTTACAGTTGACAGAAATAAAATTGATTAAATGATTGAAAACACAGCAGCATTTTATATCAACCATTGAATCATTTTTTTCTATTTAATGTTTTACAGACAAAACTAATCAGTAATATGTACAGTTTACATAATTTTACATTTACTAAATGTAAAATTATGTAAACTGTATAGATTACTGATTACTTTTGAATAATCTTTTCAAAAAAAAATTAAAAATTAAAAACTAAACCTGTAATAAAATTCATTATATTTTATCATGAGTCAGTACAGGCTCGTTAATGATATAAATCAAAATTCATTTTTTCAGGTTTTATTGCAATAAACCATTTACTTTTAGTGCAATAAAAGTAAACATTTTGGTGCAACAAAAAATATATTTTTGTTAAAACTGGAAATCCTCGTCGTGGTTAGAAATTGGAATACTTAACCAACTTTCAGAACGTTATATTAATACAAAATCACAATCAAAGTGTACTAATTCCGTGTTTGTTTGTTTTTTGAGCCATCATGGCTTATTTTTTGTTGAACCTAGGTCGGAACCAATTAATGTGGTTGCGGACACTCATAGGTTTTATAGGTCACGCGACATTTGGCGAGTGGCGCGAAGTTCATTAGTATGGCGTGACATTTCAACAGTTATACTTTCCGTGAAATTTATAGTTGCTTCTAAACTGTTTTAAGTCGCGCGACTTATAGCATTTCTTTGTAAATGTTTAAAAGTGGCGTGAAGTTTAAACATTTTGATGGGACATTTAAGAAATTGGCGTGACATTTTTTATTGAGTAAATTCCAGTCAGGTACGGCGCAACTAGGGAAGGGAAAAGCTCACT